ATGCTGTTTCATGTTCAACAGGAGGTACGAGACGCACGCGTTGAAGGACGAAAATTGTGTTATATGATGTCATGTACGGGAAGACACAAATTTCCTTCCAAGTGGGTGGGGGTCCTGGATCGCCAACGTAGGCGATCAAACAGTTGGACAGTCCGACGTCATTAAAACACCGCGTCATCTGAGCTTGAACGTTGCGTCTTTCTCGGTGGCAAAGTTGAGACGAAAGGCGATATGTTGACCAAATGGTCTATCTATCACTATTTCTGTCAAAAATCACTACCGCTATCACATTCATCCATCATACAATCTAGTAGGTTGCACAGTTTTCGGCGCATGTCCGGATCTTTGGCCTTCTTGATTATGCACGATATAACTTTTTGATCCAAATCCCGCAAGTCTCGGCTGTTCTCCGGCTTCACCAAAATATCAAGAAAAGTTGCGACATGTTGCCAATCATCGTAGGCGGCAGCGGTATCCATCGCGTAGAAGTAGATTGAGAGGCTTTGGCGACGATGAGCCCCAAGGTACCCCAGCAGACGTGATACAGCTTGTTCGGGTTGGTCCCTGCGAGCCCCAGCCTGACAAAATGCAACTTCTAAGGCAGGGTCTGTGGAATATTTCATCACCTCCAATAATACATCATCGCCAACAAGTGCGGCAGACACGATCGCCTCCGGCATGTCACGAAAGTATGTCTCCTCATTCATGAGCCAGTCAATCATCTTCAGATGCTTGCCCTGGATGGCCGCTAACATGAGAGAGCAAGCTTCGCTATCGGCGAGTCGCATGCGTGTATGTCTGTTCGCTTGTATCGCTTGCTCAACATCGCCATTCTTGGCCGCATGATACAAGGCTGCGAAGGGATCGTACGCATATTCTAGTGATTCGGGGGTAAATAGAAGATCTCTCAACGTGTTGTCATTGTGCAGCAGGTCCACGGCATCTCGTCGGGCCAAAAGATCTACCGGGCTCTCGCCTTCTGATTCAGAAATACCAGTATTGCCAGTTAATTGCTCAAAAGCGGGACGGACGTGTTCATTGTACCACGCATGAATCCGAGGCAATGGAACTACATCCTTCGTCATGCCAGCAAGTAGTCCCATACACCATGTAATCGATTGAACTCGAACTAGTGCCCGTGGTTTGGGATCCGCATGGTTATAGCCATTCAGATGAAACTTGGATGAGTAAACAGTGTCACGAAAAATATGAACGGTTATAATGACAGCATCGAACTCGTGGGCAACTTTGTCGGCCAAATTAAAATAGAAATTGCAAAAATTTGGAGTTTTGCCGAAATCGGAACGCATGTCTTTAAGCATGAGCGTGCGAAAATTGTTCACTTGTTCCTTGCGCGAAGCGGCAAGCTCTTCAGCTTCATAAAAGGCCATGAATTGAGCTTCCTGCTCCGGAGAGAGGCCGGTTAAAGGAGTTAAAAGAATCTCTGGCTGATCGGCCCAAATACATCGATCCAGTTCCGCGTATTGGGCATCAGTCAGTCCGGAAAGAAGAAGGTTTTGTGTAACTAGGTGTATAGGATCCGCGTTGCCAGATAGATGTGTTAGCAAAGTGGAAACAATAAGTTGTGCCAAAGTTGCTGCTGAAGAATCCAATAGCGTCGCTTGACCCAACTCGCTCCTTTCAAGTAACAAGATGACGTGGTGAGGTGAATCATCCTTTATTTCTGTATGAGTAAGACCTACAGTAGTAGAGGATGAACTGTACTTGTCAAGCAGCTGATGGTTCCCAATTGCTACCATTCCGCGGTCACAAGAAAACAGTGCTGCGAGTCCAAAGGCCAAATGTCGCGTAGAGGACAGGCTAAGGAGATGGTAAAATGCCACTCGACCAGCGTAAGCATTGAGCGAGCCACATTTAGGCTCCAGCCGTGAAACTAGAGACCGATAAGCAGCATGCGAATCGTGCAGATGATGGAAAGGGCCGTCATTCATTGCCGTATAAACATCTAGAGATGGATAATGGTGGGTTTCCGATGAAACATTGGCAGCGTCTGAAAGTGGTTTCATTGTGCATTTGGCATTAGCTTTGCATTGCTTTCAAGAAATGTCCGATGTTAAACGGGTGGTTAGGTGCCTGGCCCAGTTTAAATGTAATCAACTGGACCTGGAAGCCCATGTAGCAAAGCACGCGACAAGTCGTGAAGCCTTGTAGTATTAATAACATTGTACTGTATCGCTTTGACATAGAGATTCGAAACGTTCCTGGATGAGCCGCTGTGGCTCGTCACCTGTCAAGATCAGGTCGCTCATAAGCACAATGCTGCCTCTGTCAAGAACACGCAAGCATCACTGCCTAGGTGGCAACTTGCCATTGGCAAGTGGCAAGTGGCAACAGGCAATCGTAATACTGCTGCGTAGGCTGCTGCCTACGCAGCAGTATCCCAACAAGTATTTAATTTTGTATAATTCCCCTCTTTTAGATAGGAATCAAGAGTCTCCCGTTTTGTCCAGGCTATCCCATACAATCGTGTGTGTGGCATCACCAGTCTTATGAGCTCTCTGGCTGGCCATTGCGATATCGAGGATGGATTATGCCCTACGTGGCGTTATTTAAATAAATATGTCCCTCACTCATCCGTGCGTGGCTGTGTCTGAGCCCAGTGACCCGTCTTCTAAGCGGTACTTGAAGGTACATGCCCACAACTACACTAATCCATTTCTAGCCTGGAAAAGGGTTCTTTATTTATCTTATGTAGCGAAACCGCGACACTAATAAAGCCTTCTAGTGTACCGGTAAGGCATCAATGACGGAGAGCTGGGAACTAGGTTGTGCTCATGGATGACTTGGGAAACGTGTAACACAACTTGATAGTTCCTTACCGGAGGTGGCTTCACAGCTCGCAATATCTTATGTGGGGGTGTGTGTGGGTGCATCTGTGTACCGAGCTGGGCTGGCGGTAACTTTCTTCAACGATGCTCAACGAGCCGCGCACATGAATCGCGGCAATGATATTAATACATTGTAACGTTTATTCAAGTTTAGTCGGACGTCAAATCGACGCAGAGACGGCCGCAACGAAGCCCACAGGTGCGGCAAATGAATTCGGGCAACTTGCTGGTATTTGTTATATATTGGCCCTGCCCTCGCTCTACTGGGAAGTGTTCGGCAGGCGGCGCTCACTGTACGCCAAAGCAAGTCAGAAACATCATTTCTTTCCGTGTTAATGCTTGGAAATCTCTTACGGCATGACAACGACGGGCATGGTTAGAGCCGCACGACAGGCTCACTCAGCAGTTGCCCAAAGCTCCGATCCGACAAATTCGTCAAGGGGCAATGTCGATGTGTTCGATGTATCGGGAATCCAACTCCCAGGCGAGGATGACAATTGTGTGCCTGTTTACGACACCTGCGCCACTATACGGCGGAAAATTAGTGGTTTCTTGAGGATCCAGGGGCTCACGCAGGCAGCTTTCCTTCGTGCCATTTCTATCGCTTCCGGGGATTGTCGCAAATTACAAGGAGGTCAATTGAAGCGATTTTTGGCAATGCGAGGTCCCCTGGCTGGGAATACCAGCGCAATGTATTACAAAGCGTACTTCTTCTTCGAGAAAAGTCGGATACGCGACAACAAGGGCAAGAGTGACGCTCGCCTGGAGATGGAGGGGTTGCATCCCGATGGGATGGATACGAGCGGGGTTCGAAACCACGTCTGGGCTCCCGAAAACTCGAAGGTGGAAGTTGACAAGTACGGAGTAATTCGAATTTATTAGCGAAGGTGCCTGGTTGTCCATCGTAAGCTCAACGTCAACATTTCCATACACATGGCATATTTGCCACGAAAGTAGTACTGTAGTGTACAGAACAATCGAAATGCATCTGAATTTCTTCCTTGTATGGATGGAAATTTGGAGATTTTAGGGGCAGCGTTTTCAACCACATTTTGCATGTGTCTGGTCTTCACTGACACAAACCCACCCGGTGTCGTTCATCGCGAAGATCCATGACAATGCAGAACTCCAAGGGATATTTAGCCGAACGCTAGATTTCACTAATTACTTGAGGTCTGAAGACGGCATGTCGCTCGTAGTATTGCAGAATCTGCTTGATTATCTCATTAGCGGCAGGTTTCTTGTTGTGCGGGAGGTCACGTACCCTCTGCGGACTCTTCTTGCATAGCACGGCCGTCAGCAGCTTAATTTTTCGTCCATTGGGCCAAGTGATGTATGCTACCAGTCTACCAGAAGAGTCATTTTCCACAGCATCAATCGCGTACTGCACATTCTCCCAAGATCCTGAGGGTGGGTACCACTCTTCCTTTGGAGACTGTTGTCGGTACACCCGCGTTGTTTTCGACACCTCAGGCCTCTGCTCAGACACTTTTCTGTCACCTTTGCCTTGAAACAGAGTCTGTCCTGCGGAATGACGAGTTCTATCTGTGCCGCGAGTTTGGGGTTTGAGTACACTGGATGATCTAACTCTCCTGTGTTTTGGACTAGCCCGACTCTGCGGCCTCCGTCTCTCAGTTTGCTGGAGTGGGTGTGGCCTGGCCATAATATTGCGAATATTTGCTGCAAGAGCCAAAGAGTGTGTATTTACGTATGCCTTTGGCTTAACATGCGGATAGCCTCCGTTATGTGGATGGTTGACTATTGCCAAAGCTAATATCGGACCCCCGGCATTTTTGTCGTTATCGAGGGCTGAAACTTCGAAGTGTTATATAAAGAAATGGACGGTGGAACATTCATAACCATGTGTTTGCTTGCATTGTACATACGGGTTCTCATGCGTTAGGTGTTTATTATGCGCAGACTTGGTTGCAGGCATTTCTCCATAGTGCTTTTGAGCGGCGACATGGGTTTACAATCATGATTGGCGTAATTATTTTCACTGGCCAGCAAATGAACTGAGTCGCGGAAAACATCCCAACATCGGTCCTGCCACCTGTCGCTGACACCTAACAGTCCTGCCACGTAAAGGGGTGCTAATTTTGTGGTCTTTTTGCCCGGCGCTTTCAGCTCGCAGTGACCAGTGACTCGAAACATAACGTCATAAAAAATTTCATGCCCCTCGCGGTCTCGCGTAGTTCCCTCAGGCAAGGGTTGAAGAATATTTTGTGGGCACCCTGGTCCCTTCTCCCTAGTCCATTCTCCCCGGTCCATTCAGCTACCATCTAACAGTGTTGCTGTGAGTTTCGACAGCGATGAAGGACTCACTGCAATATCTCTGAGGTGACCGTCAAACCCCTCGTATTCATGGTATTTTGCCGAACCCTTGATCGGACCGGAGGAACTTGGGGTACCCTCCGTGAGTTTCTCGGGCGACATTATCTCCGTGAATAGACAACGTACATATCCACAGTACATTTCACAGGTCGACCAAGGCACATGCGGTCAGCCGAACTTATAAAGTTGTATCACGATATTGACGGTAAAGACGCCTTAACTTTGGCTGCCGAGAATGGCGACAAAGAATTGGTTGAGTTTCTTCTCCGCCAGCCTGGCATGTTCGTTGACTGCGCCGTTGCACGCGGCCCTGCTTCCGCTGTCGAGATGCTCCTGACGTCTAACGACATCGATTTCACTCACTACATGTACGGCAGAACAGGTCTTTTCTTACTGGCCACTGTCTGGGGCCAAACCGAAATTGTGCGTCTGCTGCTCAAGTGTAATGATGTCGACGTCGGAGCCAGTCTCCGTCTGGCTTGACCGCCCTTCATCTGGCTGCCATGCATGGCCATGCCGCAGCTATTGAAGCGATCTTAGAAACACAGGGATGTGGATAGGTTTTTCAGAGATCCGAGTGGCCGCACAGCGCTTCACTGGGCCTTGGAAGCTCAGGATAAAGTGTCGATTAAAGCCCTGCTGTCCATGCCAGACCAGACCGAGGCAAATGGCCGCGCGACGGTGGCCTGTATGGGTAACTCGCCTGAAGACGTAACACGTAGACTCTGATACACGAAGGCAGCCCCTGGCTTTGGTCCTGGAGAAAATACGCGCAACTTCGCGTGCCGGGCTCCATTACCTGATGAGGATGTCATGTGGCCCTCGGGAGAAGCCCGATCAGGTGTCGCATGGAGGCTTGTTATATAATCTCTTACGTAGAATAATCCAGCCCAGTGCAGTGAAAGGTTGCTTGTTGAAAATGGTTTTCTCCGTTATATCAGCTATGGTTGGTGTATTTCCAAGCCTCGGGGCAACTTCTTGCCAAGTATCTCATCCAGTGGATATTGAATACTCTGGTAGAGACTTCCGTTTTTCTAGGCATCATTGCTGGGTGTGTTTCTCACGCGCATTGTTCTTTTCTCGGTTCCTAGAAGCATTTACGAGGAAGTGGAAAGCTCTATGAGTCTAGGGAGACTTTATCCTGCGTGCTCGTTGGTGCGGCTTCCAGAGAACACAACCAAGCTGGCGCCCTCGTTTGATAACACCCATAGTTTCATGCCAATGCACGCGAGGGCACGGCACCGAGGGCACGCGAGGGATAGCAAGGGGCTGTGGCACAGATCAACATTGTAACGCAACTTCCGCGGCCACATGGCAAAGAGGCATGTTACAAGTACCCGGTGTTGCAGCTCACGAGGATTGTTTGGGAGCATCTTCTAGACCAAACTACTTCGACGCTCTCTTTGGCAGCATGGTCCACAAGCACTACAGACATCTTTGATTCCATATTAAGTACCAGTAGGCCCGCCTACGGCATATAACACTGGAGTTCCAGGTTGCAGGTGGCGCCGTGCACACTCCACGCACGCAGTTTGTTGAGACGGTGTCGTGGTTCGGTATGGCTTGAATTTCTGCTTCCAAATTGTAAGCCCATGCATGCGTGCCGGGGGTTGGTTGATTGAAAGAAAACTCATGAAACTGACACTCGTTGGCTTTACTTAAGACCAAGTTGGCCGTACCTGGCTGGCCAGGTATTCATCCATCATGACTGACCGTGATTATTGCAACTTCGAGCTTTTGCTGTGTTATCTAGGGTTCTTGTTTTCACAAGATGGTGCGGTGTGACATTCGGTAAGGACTTCCGGCACGGTAGCTGCAAAGCCATCCGACTACACGCCCTCGATTCCAAACAATACAAAGGCGAAAGCAAATTGCTGATTCTCCGTCTCCATATCTAGTCTGATTCGGGATCATATCTCATTTCGAGGACACCCTCACGAGTCCGCGGGCCAAGTACTTATCGGCTCTGTGCTGCTTCGTGTGTCCACACCTGTGAACAAAGTGCATTTCCGCCTACGCCTGTTGGGAAAACTTGAAGCAGCCGATGCTTCCGTCCGAAAGTGGCAAAAAGTATTAAATTTCAATGCCACCAAAACGACACTGTCGAAAACCATCATCTCGGAGCAATCCCAAGCCATCATAGGTCTCCCAACTAGTGACGGCGTAACTTTACCTACAGGGCGCCACGAGTATCCATTTGAACTTCTCCTTCCCGGCGACGTGACCGAAAGTATTGAAGAGCTACCAGAACTGAGTCTCAAGTACCGTCTTGAGGCAACCATATACAGTCGAGGAGTCCCCGTGGAGAAGGCTCATAAGCACGTGCGCATATTTCGCGTCGCTGCCACGGACGCCGTGGAGCCGTTTCATGCCGAGATTTCACAAGGGACGTGGAGAAATAAGGTGGATTACTGTTTTAATATTCCGCAGAGGGTGGTTCCCTTCGGGGGAGTCGTTGACTTGAGCATACTTGTCAGCGCACTCGTTGTAGGGCTGGACCTGGAGGGCATTAGGCTAAAGGTAGTCGAAGACCGACAATCATGCGTGAAAAACGGCGCCGGGCGGACCACAACAAATCATTTCACGAGAGTCCTCGCCAAGACATGGGTTAACGACGGGAGATGCCAGCAACTCTCGGCAAAGAAGAAAACGGATCTAGGCATGGGCTGCTGGTGCCTGTCTGCGCGGTTGCCGCTGCCCTCAAGTCTCAAAGAATGCGCTCAAGATATTGATCTCGGCATGATTAAGGTCGCCCATTTCGTCGAAGTAGTTGCAGTACTGAAGAACCCGGACGGGCATGTATCTAATGTGAGTAACAGAACTTGCCCATTCGTCAAGTGAATACGGCTTGGCTGATATCATCTGCGTGGCTTGTTCTTCTTAGCTTTGCGCAAAATTACCCGTAGCGGTTGTGATACAGCCCAGCACCTCATTTGATCAAGACGGAGGCTTGGTCATTCGAAGGGAGCTTTCTGGCCACCCTCAGCGTATGAGCGCAATAGCTCCGCCAAGATACTCACGCCATATACATGACCAACGTGTCATGAATTACTTGCGGCCAAAAGCGGAATATTGAAGCACTTGACGGATTCTCATCCTCAGCCACGCGACATGCCATGTTATCAATTGAGAGCCGTTGAATGGCATGGTCCTCAATCAAGTGAGTTGGTCATGAAAGGAGCAGGAGAACATAACTTGTATCATGAGTAAACTCTTGGACTCTTAGACCAAGTCAGATTTTCGGGTGGTTGGGTCGTGATTGTCGTAGGACGAGATCAATGGCCTGGAGGAGACAAAAGTATAGGAAAATTGGCTTCAATTGACAATAGCCACATGACTTACTGGGAGCAGCGGGAGAAGCTGGCAAAGAGTTCGAGCTGTTTATTTACGTAGTTGTCATTATTTTTATATTAACACACCACTAGCCTACAATGAAAAGTACAGTATCTGCTCTTCTCGCTGAATGATGCTGTATTGACTTCTAGCTCACGATCGTATGAATACATACAGTAGTCCATGAGTTTAATGTACAGCATTCGTATTATTCGTGCGTGTAAATATCTATATTGGCCTTCTCTAAAGAGCTGCCACTAGGCAGCACTAATGCTCTGAGCCACCAAAAATGTTGCCACAGCATGATGTTCGGCCCACTGATGGTGTGACCGCTACCCCAATGTGACCACGACGATCCCATATAACGTTCTGTGTGATGTTGAGCTTGTGGGTAAAGATTTGCTTCATAACGATATAAAAACTTATGGGCCCCATTATCAAGCAGGCACATATTACCAGTAAAGGTCTAGCCGCAATCAATGCGTCTGTCTATACCACGGCGGCCGGCAGTGCGCTCAACTTCTGAACTCAGCCCACACAGATGCGCGGCCAATTTCTTCCACTTCTGGTTCATCCAAAAGTAAAGTTATGTCCGCCAATGGCCCCCTTATATCCCTTAAGCAGCAGGAAAAGCGATCTGCAAAAGACTCCTCGGCATAACGCTTCCCGTACCACCAAACCGAAGTTGGCGGGAGTTTAAGAGTAAGAAAGTCGGCGTGAGAGAACGGCACCGTCTGGAATCGGTACTCGACGCCTCCGGATTCCGGATTCCTCCTTCTGCAGCCCCAAAATAAGACTGACTCCCCTCCAACACGACGCAAGATATCCTCTTCCAGTTCTTCATCGGTCATCATTGTCCGGGTGACGCACTTCACAATCAACCAAAATCTGCACCAGCGTCGTCTCTAAGACTCAACACAGAATGAATGAGTGCAACGCTCCAAGCAGTCTGTTTCCTCCTTATTGTCATTGCCACCACCCCTTGACAAGAGTTTCGACGCCAGTGGTTCTTGGAAGAGATCCAACCACATTATGTCTCGCGAATGGCGCGGGCGTGGAGGTGTAAGGGAACGGCCCCACTT